ACAATTGAGGAAAACTATTAAATATTTTATCTGAAAATAAAATGTGAAGGGAATTATTTGCTTTAGATTGTTTTGAATAACTGAGCAAGAGAAATAATAGTTATTTTTATCTTGGTTGATAGTAGTAAATCATTTTAGAGCATTGGATAAACATTAACAGTGTGCATAGATAAATTGAGAATATAAAAAGAGATGTACGAAGGAGATGAAGTTATATCTTTGCTTGCCCACTTATATCTTTGCTTGTTTAAACAGACCTTTAGGAAATTAATAATAAGTCTTATGCTATTCACTGTAAAAATAAATAACTTTGCCCTATGCAGAACAGTTTCTAAACTTGGTGTCTATCGCATAATAATACAAAAATAGTATCTGGATCTCAGTCTTTGTAAATTCAGGATTAACGGTTGAGCAATGATTCCAGGATTCAGTGTTACTTGAATGAAGGAAATATAGGATCTCCAGTCTGCTTGCAATTGATGCCTGAAATACTTGTTGATTTTTCCTTCGACGGTGGTCTTTCCCTGCAGGATATTAGTTACTGCAAGATATGATGATCTTCCAACAGACCGGAATGGCCAGAAGCCAATTACAATGAAAGACTTTAAAAGTAGTTTGCCATTGCTTCCTTCCCAGGTTAAGAAAGAATGACTGGCCAAAAGCACCCAGCAAGCTTATGCCTAAGACTGACTTGAACTCACAGTCTCCTGTTTTTTAGTCTGGTATCTTAATCACTAAACCAAACTGTCTCCCTCATATTGAAACAATATAATGCATTAATATATCAATAGCACTTAGGCTTATATACCACTTTACAGTATTCTCTGGGCAGTTTACAATTCAGAAGCATTATTTTGCACATTGCTCCTATAATCTAATTTTACCCACCTTGGAACAATGGAAGCTGAGTCAACCTGGAGCTCCATCAGGATCGAACTCCAGGCTGTGGCAGAGTTTGCCTGCAATACTGTGCTTTAATCACTACACCACCAGATCTCCTTTATCATATGTATAATAATATAATAAAGAGGAGAAAAACAGGAATTCTGAAATACATTCTTAATAGGAACAGAACCATGTGATTTTAACTTTTGAGACATTCCTCCAGATGTGACTAAGTTTTGGATTAAGGCTTCCTGAAGCCACACCGTGCTTCATCTGATTGCTTCATCTGATTCATCATAGCATCACTACAAACCCAAATCAGAGGATTTATTTATTAATTAAATAAATATAAATGGCCACCCACTTTACCGACAGGTGATTCCAGGCAGCTTATGACATTAGATAGAGACAAGAAGCAAAGCTTTCTCCTTCTTCAACACTGCAAAAGACATTAAAGCAGCCATAGCAAGGAGTGGGAATGACATTCTTCAATTCTTGAATCTTTTCAATTTCACAAATGAAGACAAAACTTTGAATGATTCCATATTTGGGGGGGGGGAGTTGGTGTCACCTATAGTATTTTTAAATCTTCTTTCTCCAGATTACTTGCATTTTGTTTAAAAAGCAGCTGGCTTCTTTAGTGGAAGTTTGATTTGTGTCATAGAATGTTGCAGTGCTGAGGCCTTTTCAGTCATCCCATTTCTGTGGCTAATTTTTAGGAGACAAATTCCTCTGACAAATTTCTGTAGCAGAATTCATATTTCACAGTGTTTTTTCCCCTCACCTAAATAGGAATCTATGTTCTTATGTCTTTCTTTTCCCCTTTGCTTTAAAAGCTTTCATAACAAATTGCGATGCATTTGACAGTAATGGCTAAGAGACAGCAGGCTCTGAAATTACAACCTGTTCTTCACCTCAGAGTTTCTACTATTTGTTATTTTTCAATTCTTTCAAAGGTAGACATATATTTTCCTGCTCATCCCAGCTGCTTTTTGATGGAGATGTTGCTAGATTGTAGTCAGTTTCTCGGCTCATATACACACAAGTGTTTCTACACATTTCACTATATTCTTACTCTGTTGTTCAATGGTGATAGGTTATTGGGTGATATGTATCTTAAGTATTTCTTCAGAAAACTAAATGATTTGGCACTTTTTTTAAAAAAAAGAAAGATATATTTCAATAACAGTTTGCAAATCCCATACAGTACAGTTTAGTCAAATGAATATTAATGTGCATGTTGCGTTGTTAATCTCTGAGAAAAGTAGCTCAGCTTATTTAGCATTCTGTTCTTTATTGTCATGTCTTATTCCGTTAAACAGAAGCCGGTGTCCTGTTTGCATGAGATTGGCTATAGATCTTTGGATCTCATGGCTATTTCCGTGAGCCACTCTTTCTGTAAACTTCTCTGAATGCAAAGGACAACATTTATTGGCAAGGGGCTGTTGCGCCAGAAATAATAATTGAGTAACAGTAAAAAAAAATCCTTATTCCCACTCCTCTCTTTCATAACTAATTTCTACTAATATCAGAGAGAGAAATGGCTTTAAACAAGTGATTTGGCTTGGCTTGGCTTAGTTTAATGGGAAGTGGCGAACCTATGGCACAGGTGCCAGAGGCGGCACTCAGAGCCCTCTCTGTGGGCACGCGCGCCATCGCCCCAGTCCTAGGCCTTCAGCTGTGCAAAAAAAAAAAAAAGGTTCAATCAGTCAATTTCAACTTCTCGCGAGGAAAAAAAAGATCTTGCAAAGTTGGAATTGATTGATTGAACTTTTTAACCCCACCCAGTCTGCCATTACCACTGCAGCCATGCCCACCCAATGGGCCACAACCACCCAATGGGCCACACCCACCCGGCACTCGACAATGCATAAGTGGGTTTTGGGTTGCAGTTTGGGCACTCGGACTCTAAAAGGTTCGCCATCACTGATATATCCTTTTCCTTCTGGGTAATTCAGGACTGAAAGGTCTATATCTGGCCTTTGGCATTCTCTGTTTTCTGTCTTATAGTAAATATAAGTGGTATTTGAATATAGGTAGTCCTTGCTTAATGATTACAATGACTGGCAAGTCTGTAACTAAGCGAGACATCATGATTGTGACAGATTTACAACCTCACTATCATCATGGTCATTAAGCAGATTGCTCACAGTTATTAAGCAGGACATCATATGATTGTGTCTTTTGATTTTACTGCTGGCTTCTACATTGACTCTGCTTATTGGAAGCTGACTGAAGGACACAAATGATGATCATGTGTCTACAGGATTCTGCAATGGTATAAATGTCCACCTCCTGCAAATTGCCTGAATCTTGATTACATGACCATGGTAATGTTACAAGAGGCATACATAATTGTGGAAACAAGTCTTAAAGTTATTTTTTCAGCACTGACGTAACTTGCTGAAAAGAACAGTTGTTAAGTGAGGTCTATTTGTATTCAAAAGATATAAATATATTATAAAATGACATAGATTTATGCAAGTTTAACTGTAGTGCCTTCCCATAATAATTTTGGGAATTACAACTTGTTGATGGCATGGAATCTTCTCAGATAGAGGCCTTGCTTATTCCTCTTCAAAAAATATAATTAAGTGGAAATGCATTCTATAAATACGAATAGCAATCGCCTTTTCTGAGAATGGTTTTTTGGAGATAGAAGAATTGGGAGCCCGAAGATGGGGTCAAATGCAACTAAACTCCTGTCCCTGGTCACTTTCACCTGACAAATTCCTTATTTGTCATAAAGCCCAGTGTTTACAGAATTTCAGAATGTTGACATACTGTATATGTCAGACAGGAAGGCAGTGCAGAGAGTGGTGAGAATGGCCGAAAAGATCATTGGCAGTTCCCTCCCTCCCATCCAGGACATAGCACAGAAGCACTGCTTGAGCAGGGTCCGTAAGATTATCTGGGACACCTCACATCCTCTTCATGACCTGTTTTCCTTGTTACCTTCTGGGAGGAGGCTTCGTGGTATCCGAAGCAGAACATCCAGATTCAGCCAGAGTTTCATTCCATACAGCATTAACCTTGCGAACTCTCAAGCTTCCTCCTTCCGTTATATATTCAAGATGGACAATATTTAATATTTATTTGCTACGTATATGTAGGGATGTGGGTCTATACATATGTTGTTCATAATATGTTTAGGTGTGTGTCATGTATGTGTTTCACTTTGAGAATGGGCAACTAAATTTCATTTTTGATGTGTGCCATTGTGCCCACAGTATAAAAATGGCAATAAAGTTTATGTTATCTATCTTATCTTATGTGGGTTAGTTTGCAAATATGACAGGTTCAATTATACCATCAGCAAATCAGCTTGCTTAAAAGAGGGATCTCAGTAGTTCTTTATGAAGGGCAAGAACAGGAAAGATATACCAAAAGGTTGAGAGAGGGAGAGAGAGATCATTTTTGAAATGCAACAATACATTCTTACTTCTTCTTCTTCTTCCATTCTTCAGTACACATTATGACTTCTTCCATTCTTCAGTACATATTATGTACCTGTAAATTCCTAAATTTCTGGTGATGCATTCCTGCCTTGAAATAAAGCCTGGCATTGGGAAATAAAAAAAGAAATGATACCAGTGATGTAGAGGAATGAAGAAACCTGGAAGAGGGCAAAGCTGCCTGCATAGAATCTTAGATCAAAGCACTTTGCTTTGCAAAATATTATGGCAAGTTCCACTTGAAACTTTTTATCGCAGATTTTATTGTTAAATAAACTAACAAAACTGCTTTATGTTGATAACTTTCTGGAAAGAGGAAATGACTAGAAAACCAAGCAACATTGGCTGTGTAATTAGACACACTCATCCATAGATCACTGCAGGGGCTTAAAAGAATTACACACTGACCAAATGGACTTAACACATAGGGTTCCGTTCACAGTTTGGTTTACATAATATGCTTGTATTTCAGTGGCATTAAGTTACAATATTTATATTACTAGCAGAATATGTTATTAGAAATATCACACATGAAAAGGGAGCCCCGAGATTCATTACTTGGATGTAATTATTTGGCACAGTGTGACATTGTCTTTTCTTGTGAGGAGCAGGGGGAAAAGTGCTAAGCCCTTTGTAACATCTCTTTTGATGTTATTATAGGATATAATGAAAGATGAATGCTTGACTCTGAAACTGCAACTAAAAGAGAAAGATGAACTCATTTCCCAACTTCGTGAAGAGCTGGTAAGTGACAAGCAATGTTTGTTTCTTATTTGGAATTCACTAGACCCGGTAAGGTTATTGGCTGGGGTCAATACACAAACAAACAAACAGAGGTTGGCTGTGTGCTTACATTAGAGCCACATTAATCACCTCCTCTTGATTTAGGCAGATTTTGTAACTGGGAACTTGTCAAGCTCTGAAAGGGCAATTTTGCATGTAAGTCAAAGGAGGTAGTTTTAGAAGCCTACAATGAAAGTTCCCTTTAATCCCTGAGGTAAGACAAACCACAATTTTCTGTGCATTTTACAATGCAGATATTTTGATGATTACTGATTTACCATTACTGGTGTTTCTATTGATAAAATCATTCAGGAAAGTATTCTCCCCTGCTGCCACTGCAGGAAATACATGAGTATACAGAGTGTAAATTTCAGTAGCTTTTCAGGTTTTCATAGAACAGTGTACACTTTACACTTGCTGCTAGTAAAACTATTTAAATGACTGTCTATAAAAATACTGAAATCTGGGACTGAAACAAGAACAGAAACTATAAAACTTTCCTATGTTTCGACCAACTGCTAGGTATATTCCCCTAATTAAGAGAATGTATTGGTACTCCTGTGTAGGTTTATGCTGAATATCAGAGTGGTTTGATTGCTCATTTTAATTTGGAGAGGAATCTTACTGAATAAAATATAGAAATGAATGAATGAAAGTCTGTGTCCTGCACGCATGTATATACATATGTATGTGTACGTATGTGTGTATGTGTATATATATATATATATATATATATATATATATATATATATATATATATATATATGTCTTTAATAATTTTGAATATAGGAATCCCAGGTATGGACATTTAAAGTCAATCAGATAAAAAATTGTTAATGAAAGCTCAGCAGTTAATAAAAAAAAGCCTTTTATCTTACATCCCAGAGCTATATATACATATATATATATATATATATATATATATATATATACACACACACACACACACACACACACACACACACACACACACATATTAAATGCAGAAAAGAGGAATAGCTCTTGGGAGGAAACTCTAGAGAAAACGTAATAGAAAACATCCTACTTTCTATTGATTGAGATACCATATCAGTGGCTAGCAAGGATTATAAAATGTAGCATATTAAATAGAACAATTTGTTGTGTCTTTCTTAGTAAACCTCTGGAAAAGTAATGCAAAATGGTATAGAAAATACTTTCTGTAAATATTTGGGAGTTTGATTTTACCTGCATCAGGCTACATCTGGAATGTATTCATTGATGGAGATGTGACACTTAAGAATTTGTTATGATTTTGAAGATAAGTGAATAGTAGCTGAGGTTGTCTGCTGAATAGTATCTGTCAAATATGAGCCATGAATTATTAAGTAAAGTGGAAATGAGACTGCCAATCCACTTAATTTATCCAAACTGGACAGTTAATTTTCTTTTGCTTCCCTATGGAACAAATACATAATTAGATCTTGATTTAAAATATTATTGAGTTGGTTATAAAAGCGTTATGCCAAGCTATCTTTAATTTATTTTTCTGTTGTGTAACATGTCAAAGATTTTTGTCTTAGTAAAAAGAGAAAAAAGACACTTTTGGTCTCAATATTTTTTCTACTGTGTGTCTAAGGTTTATAGAGACATATTTCAAGGCATGCTGAACTTCAAAAACTCTAAATATGTATCCGATACACTAATGACGTAGATGAAACCATCACATTAGGAGAAATTATTGACAAAAGTGAAAAAAGTACAGATGAAGAGTTAGCCAGGACCCATTTTAAATGTATGAATTCATGAGCTGAGTTGATTCAGTTTGAATTTGCACTTCAGTGAGCTGAGCCAATTCAATTCAAATTTACAATGTGACTCTAAACTCTGATTCAACAGAAAATCTGTGTCCATGTTCAGAGGTTCCTTGACTGTTCTAATCAGTTTGAAGGCATCTGATTCTTTGTGTTGAGTCAATTTGACAGTTTGACAAAATTGATGTCACTCCAGTCAAGAAGTATAAATCATGTGAACTAATACTACTTTTATCATAAAGTTATAGTAACAGAATCTTACAAGTTTGAAAATCCTTCTTCCCTCCTTTATGTTTATGTTCCAGTAAACTAGGGAGTCAGTTTACATTCCAATTCCAAAGAAAGGCAATGCCAAAGAATGTTCAAACTATCGCACCATTGCACTCATTTCACATGCTAGTAAAGTTATGCTTAAAATCCTACAAGCTAGACTCCAGCAGTATGTGGATCGAGAACTACCAGAAGTAAAGGCAGGATTTCGAAGAGGCAGAGGAACTAGAGATCAAATTGCCAACATACGCTGGATCATGGAGAAAGCTAGGGAGTTCCAGAAAAACATCTACTTCTGCTTCATTGACTATGCAAAAGCCTTTGATTGTGTGGATCACAACAAATTGTGACAAGTTCTTAAAGAGATGGGAGTACCAGACCATCTCATTTGTCTCTTGAGAAACCTATATGCGGGTCAAGAAGCAACAGTGAGAACCGAACACGGAACCACTGATTGGTTCAAAATTGGAAAAGGAGTCCGGCAAGGCTGTATACTGTTGCCCTGCCTAGTTAACTTATATGCAGAGCACATCATGAGAAAAGCAGGGCTAGATGAATCAAAAGTTGGAATTAAGATTGCCGGGAGAAATATCAGCAACCTAAGATATGCAGATGATATCACTCTAATGGCAGAAAGTGAAGAGGAACTAAAGAGCCTCTTGATGCTGGTGAAGAAAGAGAGCGCAAAAGTTGGCTTGAAACTCAACATTAAGAAAACCAAAATCACGGCATCCAGCCCTCTCAATTCCTGGCAAATAGATGGGGAAGAAATGGAGGTAGTGATAGATTTTATTTTTCTGGGCTGCAAGATCACCTCAGGCGGGGACTGCAGCCAAGAAATTAAAAGACGCTTGCTCCTGGGGAGGAAAGCTATGGCAAATCTAGACAGCATTCTAAAAAGCAGAGACATCACCCTGCCAACAAAAGTGTGTATAGTCCAGGCCATGGTTTTCCCAGTTGCAATGTATGGCTGTGAAAGTTGGACCATAAGAAAGGCTGAGCGCAAAAGAATTGAGGCCTTTGAACTATGGTGCTGGAGAAGAGTCCTGCGAGTCCCTTGGACTGCAAGGTGTTCAAACCGGTCAGTCCTAGAAGAGATCAACCCCGACTGCTCTTTAGAAGGCCAGATCCTGAAGTTGAAACTCAAAAACTTTGGCCACCTAATGAGAAGGAAGGATTCACTGGAGAAGAGCCTAATGCTGGGAAAGATTGAGGGCAATAGAAGAAGGGGACGACAGAGAATGAGATGGCTGGATGGAGTCACTGAAGCAGTAGGTGTGAATTTGAATGGACTCCAGAAGATGGTAGAGGACAGGAAGACCTGGAGGAACGTTGTCCATAGGGTCGCGATGGGTCGGACACGACTTCGCAATTAACAACAACAAACTAGGGAGTGTCTCTTCTAACATACATCCTACCCCTTTTCCATATTTGTGCTATGATATGGTGGTTATCTGGTCTGTGGCTTTCCTTCTATCTTTCAGGGATCACGTTTTAAGTACTATTTATTCAGAAATTTTGAATGTTCAAAAGTATTCACAAACTTTCCAGCACTGTTGTATGTGGTGGTTTCAGATATATGGACCCATTTGCTTAGTTATTTCTATTTCCTTGAACAGGATAGGAGTTTTGTGTCACAGTTAGTTTCTCCAGAGACATATAAAACATCTTAGACTGGACAAACTGCATTCTCATCATATCTAGGAGAATCTGGGTGGATTTCAGACCAATTTGTGATTATGATCAGTCTTCAAATTCTGGTCATCCCAGTATCCAACAGTCATATGATTATGATCTGGGCACTTGGAAACTGACTAGCACTTACAGTGGTTGCCGCATCCCAGGGTTATGTGATATTGCAACCTTTCCTGGCAGCTTTCCTCAACTAAAGTCAATGGGGAAGCTGCTAGAGAATGTCACGAGTTGCTTGGGTAAGTCTTCCCCACCTGCACATCCTTCTTGAGCCTCACTGCACTTATGTAATGTCTCCCCGGCCTCTCACCCACCTTTCCCATCTGCAGCAGCTACCTCAGCTTCCGCACTCATGTCACACCTTCCCTGCCACACCACTTTGTGAGCCTGTCTCATATGGCACCAACTACCCAAAGCCCCTCTGCATTTCACTGCTCCTCAATGGCCACACACACACACCCTCTCCCACCTGCCAGCCAGCCAGCCTGCTTGCAACCATCTGGGACTTGCAAATTCCTGCAACCTTTCCTATTGATTTTGGTTGTTGAAAGCCAGCAGAAAGCGTTCAATTAATCCATGATCCTCATTTGATGATGGGAATGGGGATTGCAGGAATTACTACTGCTAAATGATGCCCTCATGTGATATTGTGTGTTACAACCATATTACTTAGCAGTGGAAGTTCTACCCCCAATTGCCTAATAAGTAGAGGAGTCCTTATATGTCTTTTTTTCTAGAGTTATGCAAAATTTATCCTCATGGTAGTAAGCACATATTTTAATAAATTAAGATTGCTTGTCATATTCTGGAATTGTAACTACTTTAAAAACTTGGTTACATTTCTAATTTGATCCTACAACTCTCTAAATAGTACTATATATGTATTTCCAATGGTTTTGTGGGTTTTGAACATTCAGCATATATCCCTTCTATCTTGTGGTATTTCCAGTATTTATTGCTTTATGATTTATCTCTTTGGGAAATTATTGATAGAGTTGTATACCATCTGTAAAGCAGACTCTTAAAAGTTAGCTTGGTAAATTTTATAAATTTGTTCCACATCTCTGCTCATTGTTGTATTTGGATTAACCAGTAAGGCTTTAAGTTTTTTCACTTTTCAAAAGCAATTTTAATTTCTTGCCATAATCTGCCATAATTATTTTGATATGTATCTTGATTATTACCTGTGAAATACAAACCAAGAAATTTCACCCAAGTCACATTCTT